TGGGTTAAGATTTTTCAAACTACAAGCATTGGGTTGGGTTGTTCAAATGTCTTCAATATGATCAATCCAACCTATGAGCACCCCTAGCTTTAACTGCCTACTCATAGACCCTAGGACCGTTGGAAGAGAATATTCCAACTCTAATGACAATGACAAAATTCTTAGAATGTTTGCCAGAATCATGGGATAGTTATGTCATGTGTCTTAAAATGTCAAGACATGTCCTTTGTCTCTCTCAGCACTCTATATGGGATTTTGCTCAATTATGAGCAATCTCTCCAGTTGAAGAAGAATCTCATAAGAGATTTAAAGGAGTCAAAAGGCTCTCATGTAGCTTTACTCTTTGAGACTCCTTCAGCGATTACTCTTTCTCTCACAATCACTGAGTTAGATCCATCTAACTCTGAGGACTTAACAGATGTTGATCTTTCAGAATTTGATGAGTCACTAGATCTTCTTACAAATTCGTTAAGAAGATTCTCCAGAAAAAGTAACTTTAGTAGCCTTACTACTCTAACTATCGCTGACAAGACAAAATCAACTCCGATTGACAAGGCTTCAACGATCTACTATAACTGTGAAAAATAGAACACTTTACAAGTGAATGAAGGTCTGAAAGAGCTATGAAGTCATCTTCCACTTCATCCTCCTTCAAACCAAATGACGATAAATATTTGAAACCGAAGGAGAAGTACAATAAGATAAAAAACTACCAACATAAAAGCAAGGGACTCATCGCTGAAAAACATGATTAGGCTGATTCATCTGATAAATTATCTTCAGATGAGGAAGACACAACCTATCTCTGTCTTATAGCCAATATCAGGAAGTCAAGGATGAAAAATTTGAGACTTCATCCTCAAATGATTCTACAACCTCAACTCAGTATTAAATCTGAATGATCTTTCTATCTCTTATACTGATAGTCTCTCTACATTAGATACAATGATTGTAGATCTTTACAATGCACTGAATGGAAAATTCAAAGCTGAAAAGCTAAATCTTGTTTACAAGAACAACTTGAATAATGTCATTCAAAAATCAAAGAACTTACTAAGATTGAAGAAAATATTAAGGATCAAGTCATTGTAAACCAAACAATTAACATTGAACAAGAGCAAGCTATCACTGAGCGTGAGCAAGCTATTACTAAATCCAAAGCTGAAAAGGCTACCATTGAGGGATGATGTAAAGCCTCCATTAAGGCTAATGAGATGATAAAATCTTAGATACATACCACGATTAAGAGTGATCTCGGATACTCTTCAGACTAGGAAGACCATGGTAGTGACAAATCCATGTTATTGGAACTTTTGTCTCCTACATCCCGGATACTTCTTCTATTCAGTGTTCCTCTACATTTGAGTCTAAAACTATTCTTGAGGAAACTCCTAAGAGTTCAAAATGCTTGGACAAGAGAAAGTTCATCGCTAAAATTCCTCAAAAGGCCAAGAAAAACCAAAAGTTGGAAAAGACTTCTACTAAACCTTCAGGTTGTCAACCTTCAACCTCTGGTAAAAAGATCTCTGGACTCATTTAGAGATCAACTCCATAACTGAAAGTTGATCTTACACCCAAGAAATCTAAGAAACTAGTTTTTCCCACAGAATCCTAAAAAAGGTACTTTTGGACCAAGCCCTTCTCATCTTATGTTTTATAACTCTCATGCTTCTAGCCCTTAAACTTCCTTTAGCTATAGAAAATGTTATCACTGTGGTTAAACTACTCACATAGCCAGCAAGTGTCCTGTTGCTAACAAAGCTAATAGATCGACTAGGGTAGAGAAAATCACCAAAGCTGAAAAACCAGCAAAAGTGATAACCACCACAAAAGTTGGTAAACCAACTAAAGTGAAGAGAACCGCTAAAGTTGAGTCATCACACTTAGTAAAGAATGTTGAAATCTCTACAACCACTAACTCAGCTGGATCCATTGTAAAATAGGTACCAAAGAAAAATTAATATCCGTTATACTGTAGAGATTTAAAGGCATCTGGTATCATAGTGGAAGCTCAAGACAAATGACTGCACTAAGTCCTTGCTATCTGAGTACAAGGAAGAAAAAAGTTCCTCAAGTAACCTTTGATGGTGATGGAAAAGGATACACCAAAGGTTTTGGTATATTAACCAATGGAGTAACCACGTTTAGACGAGTTACTTACGTTGAAAGACTGAAGCATAATATTCTCAGCATAAATAAACTATGTGATAAGGACTTCACAGTGAAATTCTCAAAGAAGGCATGTTCAATCTTTGACAAGGATGACAAACGTGCATTAACTGGCACTCGCCTAAAGAACATATACGTCATCAACATGGAATTTTCTCTCACTGAAAATATCTGTTTTCTCTCTAAAGCCTCCTCAGATTCAAACTGGCTATGAAATAAAAGGCTTTCTCATCTTAACTTCAAGACACTGAATGACTTGTCAAGAAAATAACTAGTCACTGTCTTCCTCAGCACTCATTTACAAAGGAATCTTTTTATTCAGCGTGTGAAAAAAGAAAGCAAACAAAGGCTAGATTCAAATCAAGACAAGTCTCCTCAGTGACCACTACTCTTCAACTACTTCATACGGATTTGTTTGGCCCTCTCAACATTCAATCCATCGCTGGAAAGAAATGTATTATAGTCATTGTTGATAAGTTCTCCAGGTACACTTGGATATTTTCTTTTAGATCTAAGAGTGACACACCTGATGAAATAATTTCTTTTACAAGGACAATGGAAGTACTGAATAACCTCATTGTCTGTTGAATAAGAAGTGATCTTAGTACTGAGTTGAAAAACAACACTATGGAAGACTTCTTTAAGAACAAGGGAATCGCTCACAATTTCTCAACTATGAGAACTCCTCAGCAAAACGGAGTCCCTGAAATAAGAAACCGAAAGATCATTGAAGTTTCTCGATGAATGCTCAATGAATCTCATCTTCCTACTCAATTTTGGGCCGAAGCTGTCAATACTGCATGTTTTACTCAAAATCGATCGCTGATCGTTAAATGATTCAAGAAGATGGCTTATGAACGTTTTAGTGGAAGAAAGCCCACTCTCAGCTGTTGACACATCTTTGGTTGTAAATGTTACATTCTAAACAATAGAGATAATCTTGGAAAATTTGATCCTAAAGCTGATGATGAAATATTTCTTGGATATTCTTCAGTATCCAAAGCCTTTAGAGTATTCAACAATAAAATACAAACCATTTAGGAAACTATTCATGTCAGTTTTGATGAATCTCGTTTAGCTAACTCTAAACCCATCGTTGGCGATGAAGAAAAAGTTGAATAAATGGATGATATCTCACTTTGGAGAACCTGAAGCTTTATTCAGTAATGAATCAAATGATGATCAACAAGAAGTTGATGATGACCCAGATGTTGTCCCCAACATGACAATAATAGAGTTGAATCCTCTTCAGGGATCTCTGCTGTTTCCATTAATCATTTATCACCATCTAACACCTCAAATGTTGATCCTTCGGTCATTGAATCTCCTTCTATAACTGAACCTCTCTCAGTAGATGATTCCTTACTTGAGGCTCCTTTGGAAACTTTAATAAACCCTGAAAAATCTTTTGTTGAAGCTTCATCTTTCATGCCTGAGCCACATATCTCTAAAGATTACTGACTCAATTCATCTATCAGCTCAGTGATAGACAAAGAATCATCTCATTGATCAAATTCTTGGTGATCTAAATGCAAGAATTCAGAATCGACATGGTCTAGGTAGTATCTTTCTGTCAATTTTATTTCTCTTCTAGTGCCCATGAAAATCAGTGAAGCCATCAGCGACCAAAGATGGGTCAGTATTAAGACAAAAATACTCACTGAGTTTAAAAGAAACAAGGTCTGTTACCCTGTCCCTCGTCCATCCAATAAAACTGTTATAGGCACCAAATGGGTGTATCGAAATGAATTGGATGAACATGGCACTGTAACTCAAAACAAGGTTATACTTATTACTTAGTGATACAGACAAGAAGAAGGCATGGACTATGATAAAATACTTGCTCTAGTGGCTAGACTTGAAGCAACTCGACTATTCTTAACCTATGTTGCTCATAAGGACTTTAAGGTCTATCAAATAGATTAAAAAGTGCCTTCCTGAATAGGAAACTTCTTGAAGAAGTATATATTGGACAACCTCCATGGTTAGGGATGTAAACGAACCGAACGTTCAGCGAACCGTTTGTGAACCGTTCGACGGGAAGTTCGTTTATTTAAAAAAGGAACAAAAAAATTTGTTTGTTTAGTTAAACGAACGAACATGAACAAGAGCCTTGTTCGTTCATTTATGTTCGTGAACATTCATTCGTTTATTTTCGTTTATGTTCGTTTATGTATTAATTTTAATGTATAATTTTTATTTATTTAGTTTGAATTCAAATTTTAAAAACCTTTTTAAGTTATGGGCTTTTAAGAGGGTTTTGGACTTTTAATATTGGGCCTTTTTTAAGAGGGTTTTGTTGGGGTTGTCTTCTAGGTTCTCACTCGGTAGTAACTCTAGGTCAAGTTTGTAGCAATCGACTGGTGGTCGTGACTAGTGAAGGGCAGAAGCAAAAGGGCAGATCGATTTTCGTGACTGGTGGTCGTGACTCGTGAAGGGCAGAAGCAGAAGGGAAGATCAATTTTCGTGAATGGTGACTCATGAACTCGTGTGCTGTAGATCAATCGTGAATCGCCAATCGTGAAGGGCAGGGACAGTCTCTATCTAGGTATGTTCTCTAGCCCTGCTTCATAGTTCCGTATTTTTCTTTTGGTGAGAACCTGATTGATATATAAGTGAACCTGATATATGAGAAAAGTACTTTTTTTTTTGCTTTCAGCTTCATAGTTCTCTTCTATCTTAGGTACAAGGAGGAACAAATAAGTGTATAAATTTTATAATGCAACCCCCCCTCAGATTTTGTTAGAAAGAAAATGATCTAAAATATGTGTAAAACAAGGTCGGTTTGAATAATGTGAGGCTCAGATCTGTAAACAATCGAACAATCCGCTATGGCTGCAAACTTACTGGTTGCAATGTCAGAGAACATAAGCATTCATGCTGCCATACTATAATATATATTTTCCATATATAATTTTATATTTTCCATTTGCAATGTCCCATATATAATTTTATATTTTCCCTTTGGAGATGCAATGTCCATCTAAAGTTTGTATAAATAGTTTCAGCTTTTATCTCTTTTCCATATCATACAATCTCAATACCCAGAATATTATAAGTTCCATAGAAGCAGATTCTATCATTTTGAAATGTGTAAGCAAATTCTATCATTTTGAATATAAAGCCACGATACCCATAGTTTGTTTGTTAATTTATACTTGTTTTTATAGCTTAGAATTTTATACTTGTTTTTTTCTAAATTTTCATTGGTTTTATATAGTTAATTTAAATTATTGTTTTGATTATTTAAAATGTTTTTTTTTGCATGTTTGTAGATGTCTGATGTCTCTTGTACCGGTCCATATTTCTTTCATGATGATTTCTATTTAGATCGAATGCAATCGCCTCAAGAACTTGAATCAACGGAAATTGAATCAAGTGCAAACACATCAAGAATGGAAAGTACTCCTGAAGTGGTTGTTATTGGATCGAATGATGGAGACGATGTTGTGGCAGTCGTTGATGGTGGTAGAGAAAAGGCCAACATAGTCAACAATGAAGAATCTACTCCATATGCTAAAAGGAAAAGAAAGAAGACTTCAGGAGTTTGGGAACATTTTCACTTGGTGAAGTTGGCTAATGGAACTGAAGTTTGTGAGTGCATCCATTATGGTGAGAAGATAAAGAAACTTAAAGATGGAACCACCACACCATTGCATAGGCATATTAGTGATTGCTCAAAGTTAAGAGCCGTCAACACCATTCATCCAGGTCAGTTAAAGTTAAAGGTTGTGCCGGGAAAATTAGATTCTTCTATGGTCCAAAACTGGAAATTTGACAATAGTAGGATTAGAGAGGTTGTTTCTCACATGATTATGGTTCATGAATTGCCATTTAATTTTGTTGAGTATGAATTATTTAATGTGGTTATGAAGGAAGCTAACTCCGGATTTAACAAGATTTCACGTGCATCGGCTAAGCAAGATTGTGTTGCTAGTTATGAGATAGGCAAGAAAAGAATCAAGAAAATGTTAAACACTGTCAATCGTGTGAGTATAACAACTGATATGTGGACGTTAGTGCAGAATATTCATTATATGGTTGTTACTTGTCATTTTGTAGATTCCGATTTCAAGCTTAACAAATGCATACTGAGTTTTGTTGATGTACCACCACCTTATTCTGGACTATGTATATATGATTCCCTCTTTAAGTGTTTAAAAGAGTGGAATATTGAGACWAAGGTTGCTACTTTGACGGTTGACAATGCTACAACTAATGATGTGGTGGCTACAAAGTTGATGAAAATTATGAATCTTCAGAAAAAACTTGTTGTTGGAGGGAAGTTATTCCATGTGCGATGTTGTGCACACATTCTCAATTTGTTGGTTCAAGATAGTTTATCGGAAATTAAAGACATTATTCACAATGTTCGTGAGAGTGTGAAACACGTGAATGCCTCTCCGGGTCGATTGCATATATTTAGCGAACTTTCCAAGCAAATGACCTTATCAAAGAAGCATTTGATCTTAGATCTTAGTACCAGATGGAATGCTACGTATGCTATGTTGTCTAGGCCTTGGAGTTTAAAGAAGTGTTTGTAAACTATGCCGATCGAGAATCAACGTACAAGACCTTGCCGACCTCGGAAGGCTGGGACAAAGTTGAAGTTATTTGCTCCTTCTTGGGGCTTTTCAATGAGGTTACAAAAATAATTTCAGGTATTATTGATTTTCTTTATGGTTCTCATTATAAGTCATTTTTTCGAAGCTAATCACCTAATTCTCATAGACTTTTATTTACTTTTTTTATTTTATAGGCTCCGAATATCCTACCTCTAATTTGTTTCTTAGTGAGTTGTATGGGATTAAAGAAGCATTAGATGATTTGTCTTTAGATGAGAGTAAATATATGAGAGATATGGCTCAAGATGAAAAAGAAATGTGACAAATATTGGGGTACTTGTAATCTGTTGATTTCCATTGGTGTTGTTTTAGATCCTAGATACAAGATGAAGTTGGTTGAGTTCTCTTTTAGTTCCATTTATTCAGCGGATGAGGCATCTAAGCAAATGAAAATTGTTCAAGATACTCTTACTAAAATGTTTGAAGAGCATGTTGAACAACATAGAGCGGCTAATATTGTTCAAATAAGTAGTGCACCCGAAAAGAGTGAGAGTGAAGTTAAAAGTGGTTATAACAAGTTAAGTTCTAGAGTTGGTGTCAAGAGTGGCACGGAAAAGTATGATCAACATATCAGAAGCGTTGACACTTTTGCAAGTGTGAAGTTAGAGTTAGACATTTATTTAGAAGAAGGCGTGTACATTGGTGATTCAGGTGCATATTTTGATGCCTTGGAATGGTGGAAGGAGAAAAATCTGAAGTTTAGAATTTTGTCTAAAATGGCTACTGATGTTTTGGCAATTCCGATAACTATTGTTGCTTCAGAATCAGCTTTTAGTGTTGGTGGGAGAGTTATCGATGCTCATCGCGCCTCTTTAGGGACGAAGACGGTAGATATGCTCATTTACAGAGCTGATTGGTATCGTCATCATTATAGACTACACAAAAAGAAAACCAAGGCAATTTGCTTAATCTTATCAATTATGATACTTGTTTTTTTTACAATAACTAATAATTGTTTTGTTTGTTTGTTGTAGAAAACTGATGATATGATATATATTGAACTTCCATGAGGTGACAACTGACAAATGATGATGAGCGGATTATTTTTTTATCAAATGATAATGGTGATTTGTTTTTTTTAAACTATGGACAATTGGTGTATAATAGTTAACTGAATGACAAATAGTGGTGTTTGTTTGTTTATGTTCATTTAGGCATGTTCGTTTATGTTCGTTTATGCTCATTTAGGCATGTTCATTTATGTTCGTTAAGCCTGTTCGTTTATGTTTGTTTATGTTCATTTATGTTCGTTAGGCCTGTTCGTTTATGTTCGTTCGTTTACGTTCGTTTAACTTGTTAACGAACGAACATAAACGAACACGAACACATCGGATTTCTAAATGAACGAACACGAACACAATTATTTTCGTTCGTTTACTGTTCGTGTTCGTTCGTTTGTTAGGTTAAGTTAAACGAACGAACATGAACAAGCCTTCGTTCGTGTTCGTTCGATTCATTTACAGCCCTATCCATGGTTCCTTGACCCCAAGTATCTAGGTCGTGTATATCGACTGGATCAAGCTCTCTATGGGTTAAAACAAGCCCATCGTGCCTGATATGACACCATTTCTTCATTTCTCATCACAGAGAAATTTGAACGTGGAAAGACTGGTCAAACCCCATTCTTAGGAAAAGTAAGGATCACATCATTCTTGTTCATATATATGTCGATGACATTTTATTTGGATCCATGAATGCCTCATTATGTGTTCGATGATCTGAAGCATGAAGAAAGAATATAAAATGAGTATAATGGGTGAACTAACATATTTTCTTGGTATTCAGATTAAGCAATTTGAAAAAGGAATATTCATTAGACAAAGTAAGTATGTTAACGATATGCTGAAGAAATTCGATTTAACTCAAAACTCAGCTACGAAGACTCCCATGGTACCTCCCTTAACGTTGAACAATGACCCAAACGGGAAACCTGTGAACGTTACTGCCTATAGAGGAATGATCGGGTCCTTGATATATCTAACAACTAGCCGACCTGATATCATGTATTTCACTTGCTTATGTGCATGATATCAAGCTGAACTCAGAGAATCCCATCGGATCGTTGTAAAGTGAATATTCAGATATCTGAAGAGTATACCTAATCTAGGTCTTTGGTATCCCAAAGACTCTGGGTTCGATCTAATCTATTCAGATAGTAATTTTGCAGGATGCAAAATAGATAGGAAGAGCACCACTGGAGGTTGTCAAATTATTGGTGGTAAATTGGTAAGATGGACAAGAAAGAAACAAAACTCAGTATCCACATCAACCGCTGAAGCTTAATATGTAGCCGTTTGAAGCTGTTGTACTCAAATCCTTTGGATCAAAAATCAACTCAGCGATTATGATCTTCAACTACCAATAATTCCTATTTATTGTGATAGCACAAGTGTTATTATTATAGCAAACGATCCTGTACTTCACTTAAAGACCAAACATATCGAGATCAAATATCATTTTATCAAAGATCATATTACAAACGGTGATATTAAACTTCAATTTATACCTAATGAGTACAAACTAGTTGATCTTTTTACAAACGTATTAATGAAACAAGGTTTAATATTTTAATTGACGAACTTGGAATACCGAACGTTGAGGATTAATTTTCTCAGTGATAAGCATTACCCAGTATTATATGTGACATATTCAGTGTTTCTCAATCTATCAGCGAACTCCTCTAAAAATATATTTTTTCTCCCAAGGACGTCTCTCTCTCTCTCTCTCTCTCTCTAAAAGTGATTCTTTTCTAAAATACTTAAAACCCATCATTGAACCTTTTCTTATTCAGTGATCAAAACGTTTTTAAAAGATCAAAAGTTTATAAGGGTCATATTTTTATTACATCATTAAAATATTTTTGAATAAAGGACAGTTATCTCACACGTTTCTAACACACGATGTCCATTACCATCCCTCATCCGATAAAAATCTCATGACATGTTAAAATCATCATGGCAAAAAATTTCATGAACCGTCATTTTTCTCTCTCCTCTTTCTCTCTCATCTCACCTATAAATATCACTCATATTCATCATTTGACTCTTTAAACTCTCAAAATCATCTCAAGCTTTCTCTTTCTAAAAGAAAAAACACTAAGAACATGCACCACATTCTCTTATCTTCTTAAACCTAACACAGATGTGTTCTAATACATTTTGGTTGTTCATTTTTTTAAGAAATTTGTTTGTACTTCTTTAACAAACAAAAACGCCTTTAAAGATCCTTTTTCTTCTTGGTTTCAAGAAAACTCTATTTTTTTTTGTCTTCTTGATTCAAATAAAAATCTTCTAAAAACCTTCATTCTTCTTGTTCATTGTAATCTATTACCATAAAACTCGAAAATCGATTTGTTGTATACTCGAATATACAACATAAAACTCGAAAATCTATTCTTTTGGTTTTTGAATGATTGATTAATTTTTTTTATCCTTGATTCTAAATCTTTGTGTATCTTTCCTTTTTCTTTGAATACTTCTTGACATAAATAGAACCCGCCTAGAACGTACATTTTGACATCGAGGAATGTAGCTTCAAACCAAAAAACCATCTCACTCTCTTGGACATTCCTGATAAGCAACAACACCTAATGTTGTTCTCTTTCTAAAGAACTACGTTCTGGGACATGCACTTACCTTTCAACCAATCATGGTGAAAGATGTACTTAAGCAGTTCTGGTTCACTGTTGAGGCTCAAATGAACAAAGAATTGCTAGGAAATACTACAACAAATAATACTTACCTGATAAATAATCTCTCAATGAACTTTGGCACTGCAACAATTCGCTCAGCATTGCAGCTTCCCAAAGTTTCTTCCTTCGCCAAGGAACCTGACAATGAAGCTATCGTCAACTTTCTTAATGATGTCCACTATGACTGGTCTCTAAAGAAGGACTCTGAGTCTGAGCTAAATAAGTCACTGATGAAGATCGAGAATAACCGGAAGTCTGCCATCTGGCAATATCTCTTCTCTCACTTCATTCAGTGTGGGTGGAAAAACTAGCGGTCAAGACCAAGCCAACTGAGTAGCACTGAACGTCGGCTACTCGGTGATCAAGAATAGAAACGCTGACTATGTTCAGATGATATTTGACGACCAGGTGTTGAAGTTGACCAAAAGACAAAGGGAACAGGTCGTCCCTTACACAAGATTCCTGAGCGACATCATGGCGAGGATGTTGAAGAAACAGTATGCCGATCTTCCTCTCTGCAAACTTGGATCAAGGATTCTTGATCACAAGACCAAGCCTATAGATGTTGTTCTATTCCCCATCATCATGAGGATACTCAATACCTCTCTTCATCTTTCTTCTTTTTCTTCAGTGGCAACGACTTTGGTTCAGCCACCAAAGTCTACCCAAGATGCTCCCTCCCCATCCTCTCTAAAGAGAACACACTCAGTAGCCCCTCTTAGTCCCTCAAAGAGGGATAAGAAAACCAAACAAAAGAAGACCTCGCAGCTAGGTGATTCCTTTCAACAGGTCTTATCTATTGAATTTTGCCCCCTCCCTGAGGCATCTAAACTTACCATATCTTTCTCTTTAGCAGGTTCTTTAGTTGTGGTCGTACTGGTGGTACCTGCCCAAACCACCTCAATGATTCAACTCATTGAGTTTGTGACTTTTATCACCTCTACTGTTGCTCTGACTCACAACTTCACGACCGAATTCTCAACACCTGTTGTCTCCTCGTATTCTTTATTGGTCTTGACAACACGTACTGATGATTCAATAGTTGTTGTCCCCACTATTGGAGAATCCACCACCATCAGAGGACCTGAGGGAGATTATGTCGAGATCCCTCAACAACATGTGGCTGATCCTCTCGACAGCGCATTTGAGATGTTTGGCCTCAGCGGTAATCGTTCGGATACTGATGAGGAACCCTCATGTATAATACATATTCATCGACTTTATTTCTTAGTTACTAACTCCGAGCCTTCTGATGCTTAAATTATTCTCCTAACTTTGACTTTTCAGGTCTTAACGAGAGTGAACCCCTGGTCACCGAGGCTGAAGAATATGACATGGTTGGGGATGTCAAGCAGCTCTTAGCTGATGTGGTTATTATCCTTGATAGGATGGATGAAGTCAAGCAATCAATGCCCATGAAGGAAGATTTAGATCAAGACCTCTCTACTGTCAAAGCTAAGGTTCTTGAAGCTAAGTACGAGCTGACTAATTTCAAGACGGAAGTCCAGTAGAACTCCAAAGCTATCGCTGATCTTTCCAAGAATGCTGAGGAGGTTCAAGATGTCTGGTGAGCTACTTGAACAAATATTTGTACTCCTTCAGTGACCAACACATGTCCCTGAACCCTCATTCAACAAGGATGATCGTCAATAGTTGGATATGGTTGTTGAGCTTAACTTCCATCAAGAAGAGACCCTCCTCTCCGTCAAGCATAAGTTGGACGATTTTCTACTCAGGTAGCTCCCTCAATTGATGATGACAAAGAAGGGAAAATGCTCAAACTGCTTATCTCAAGCAGACGTCCTTCTTTAGCGATCGAGCGTCGAGGTTGCTGATTATGAAGACCCTTAGCCTTCAACCTCTGCATTAATTAATGCTGGTGATAAAGACAAGGAAGATAATGAAGAAGTTGAGAATCCCATGATCCCTGACATTAGAGCTGATCTTAGAGATGATGATGATGACGATGATGAATTTTTCATCCAACCCATCTCCAGACAACCAATCAAGGGACTTTCAATCTAGGAGCCTTCAGCCCAAGGGGAGAGATCTTCTCATAACGAGCACTTTAATTCTGGCAAAGGAAAAGTAGTTGCTGAAGAAAAAATAGCCTTTTCTTGAGAGGGTGTTCAGCTTTCTAGAGGTAACAAACTATTAATGCTCTTTGTTCCCTCTTCCTCAGAAGTTGAACCCCTTGATCCCTTACCTCTATATTTTCTTTCTTGTCTCTCTCTCTTTCTCTCTCTCTCTCTCTTCTACATTACCCCATCCAACCAAGTATCTCACCTCTTAGATCTCTCCAAGCCCCTCAACTCAACT